GGCTACGAAAAAACCAAATTACCATAAGTACTACGGGATTTCAGCATTTGCATTGCGAAAACAGAATGAACAAGAAAGAAGTCAAGTTACATTATTTGCCCTATAGCATCTGTGGTACCGACATCCTGGGTTTCCATCACTCCACGAAATCAACCGAGGCGTCTTCAAGCCGCAACGACATAAAAGTGGTGGCTGGTATGTGTAGGGGTGGTTCTCGACATGGCACGGGATGGGCGGCCCCCTCTCGTTGTAGCCTCCTCCACTAGAAGCCGGTGTTCTTCTCGCGATGATGCCCTGTGATGGTGCCAACCACTGGGAGGACTTGGAGCTAGATGCAGCCATGGAGCAGTCAGGGTTCAAAGTGTTGCACACTCTGAGTGAAGAGGTTGGCCTAGATCTCTTGTCTATGCTTTTGCCTTCCGCCAAGGCACCAAAACATCCTTGAAAACCCTCATACTCCTGCCCAGATGAAATTTTGTGTCACCGGCGGTTTAGGGTACTATCCGCCTGTAGAAGAAGGCCTGTTTTAGATCCTCTGTGCTTACATAGAGGTGTACACGTGGACCACAATCAAGACCAACTGATTCAATTAACAGTTCAACCAAAGTAATAGTTCAATGATTATGCAGTACTCATACATACTAATCCAGAGGTTTCATCAGTACATATAAACTTCATTAACATAAAAGTTTCACAAATTCTTAGACTTAATGTCGGATGGGTAGGCAGTTGCTAAGGCACTTAATTGGTTGATGCGGTCCCAAAAGCCAGAGGTAGTGAACCGTAGCGAAGATGACAACATCTCCGTCCACGGACACATTGTATCTATAAAGTATGTCTACTTCCTATCTAGTCCTGCAAAGCACAAAAATCTCTCTACAAACAGGGTTTTGAACGATTCTTGTCAAATTTTATGGTCCAAGAAGGTGATGAACAATGGCTTCAACAATCAACAGCAGTCGGTCTGGGTGAATGCTCCATCCCCATGTAGCAAACAACATCATCTGGGGTCCAGGTGCCACCCCTAACCGCCAAAACGCAAGGTTGCTCGCATTGAAATGGCTTCTTCTGAAGTAAGACATCTGTTGCAATGAAGAAATTCCTAATATGAACAAAACTGATACCAAATCCAAAACTAATTGGAACTAAATGCAAATAGGGGGTGATCGAATCCATCTAACCTTCACAGGGCGTTGTCCACGACGACAATGCAAGGTGCTTGAGGCAGGGCAAGTATAGGCGATGGGTCAAAATAAAGATAAAGCAACGGGTGGGGAGAATAAAGATGAAACAACAACGGGTGGGGAGAACTAATGGATTCATATTGGGGTTTTTTAGTTGGTCGAACCACCACCAAGGCACCATTAGGACCCGAGGGGAGTTGGGAATGGGCCGGGCTCTTCTAGGTTTGTTGCCAAACGGACGATCCAGATTGATCGGCAGCGAGAACGGCGGCACGGGATAAGTTAAACAGTGTTCATATTAAACCGACCATTGCCACGCTAATCCAACGCTAAAATACGGCGATTGTCAGTGGTTAAACTGCTTTTAGATTCTCCTAGAAATAACCGCAACCGTACATGACAGTTTTTTCCCTTTTCATTCACAAATATACAAAAAAATTAAAAACATTCATTGAGAGATCAAATCTATGCACTGGCATTTTGAAAGTAGTATTGGAAAGAACTTGCTTTGCATTTCATATAAAAAAAGGTGGCATTGAAGAGATCAAATCTACATGAACATAATTTTTTCATTGATTGATTATATATATCTAACATATAGATATAATTTGGACGAGTATATGATTGTACTCGTCCGGAAGCATAATAACTAACCTAAACTATTAAAACTACTTATCCAACTATAAACTACTTAATCTAAATACATGATCCTCTCGCCTCGCTCGCTTGGCAGGAGGCGAGGCGAAGTCGGAGTCATCGTTGGAGTCAGCGTCGTCCTCGTCGTCTTCAGTGTCAGCGTCGGCGTCGTCCTCGTCCTCGTCCTCCTCGTCCTCCTCCTCCGGGTCCTGCTCGGAGCTCCACAGAGGACTATAATCAGAGATCCCATTGTCGAAGGAGACGTTCTCCTCAGAGGAGTGGTGGGAAGGCAATTCGTCCTCACCGGACGACGGACTGCTTGGAAACTTGATGGGGTTGTCCGACATTTTCTTTGTAGATTAGAAGAGAAGGGGATGATGGATGAAGAAGATGGGTTATTTCACAGGGCACCGAGCTTAAAGTATATGTAGAGCAGTGGGTACGCGGCTCTTAGGCTTCAGGCGGCGGAAGTAATGGTGATTTGACGGCCTTGGAAGTTGAGGCAATTCAACACTCACATTGAATTTACCGCCGGTTGAACAAACGCTACTTTAGGGCCGGTAGGCGACGAGGCAGCCGCTGGCCGGGGGCAGCGGGGGAGGAGGCGAGGGTGGGGGAGGCAGGGTATGCGGGAGGAAGACGAGGGTCACATGCTCCCCTAGCGCGTGACTGGTCGCGAGTTATCATCCTCCTTAAGCATAATACCATTATATTCTAAAAAAGCATAATACCATTATAAAATGTTCTTAAAAATTATATAAATTATTAATAACGGTTTGTTTAATAAATTTTCAACTAGTTTATGCCATTGTACAATTAGAAAAAGGAAACGGGGGCCTCTAGACTAACTTTAAGTGAGTTATCAGCTTCTTGTTGTGTTTGAGACCTATCCTCACGATATCCGACCATCATTTGCTCTCGTGCTGGTCTCTGCTTTATCCATCATCATCGTTTTTTTTAGGCTGCATCAACGAATTCACCTCAATGCCTTAGTTGCCTCATCGTTGTTAGTGGTTTTAACACCAATAAGCTTGAGTCAGATCACATTTAACTTCTTTGAAAAAGAGTACTTTCTTCATTGCGCTATTCGAAATTGATAGTTTGATCTGACTTGTCGGAGCTCTAGTTTGGAAAAATATTTGAAATTTCTTCAATTATCTGCTATATTCTTGTTCTTGGGTTCAAAATATGATAATCTAATTGAATCCTTTTTTATCTGTTATTATGAGTTGATGATGGTTATTTGCCTAATCAATGCCATGTCGCAGGAAGCCAACGGCCAGCATGAAGTTGATAGGGCCATCATCGTCTAAGGCGGCGCTGAAATCGTCGATGACGTCAAGAAATGTAGTAGTTTTGAGACCATAAGACTATGGTAGAAGCTCATCCCTTTTTGGAGGAGTCAACCCACTACCCATGACTTCCTGAGTGAGGGTCTTGGAAGTCAGAAAGTTTCTACAAAACAACCCAGAAGAAATGGATGATATTCGTGTGCATGTAAACTACAAGTAGAAATGTTTTTACAAGTTAAAGACTATGATGTTGTCAAACAGCTCCTCATAAAGCTTCTATTATTTATTTTAATTTTGCTTGCTTCTACCAGTTAGAAGGCACAGCTAAAATAAATAAATACAATTTTTAGATTGGTTTTTAAACAGATGAGAAATGTTATTTATGTGGAAATGAAATAAAGATGGAATTCTAGTTGAAAGGTGTTTTTTTTTGGGTTTTAGACTACTATCGTGCCATGAAACTAAAAGTCTGTTCGACAGCGCTCCCTCCGCTCCACTCCGAGCGAGAAGCTAAGGAACGCTGCTCAACACCTTCGCTTATGAATGCTCCACTTAGGAATTGCTCCTGGCCCTTTGTGATTTGCATTGCAAGTGGGGAGTGAAAAAAAAACGGTCCATGCACTCTAATTTGCTCCCTCGCCTCATTTATGCCTCTCTCTGTCTTTCATGGTGACATTCTTTGCCTCTCCACCTCTCTCGTGGCTTTCTCCTCCCTTGTATCCCGCCAACCCTCTCCACTTTAGTTGCACTCTCCCTGTCTTCCCCATGCAGTGCTCTTCACCGTCCGCTCCTCTCCACCACCATGCCCTTCCTCATCACACCGCTCCACCAGATCCGCTACGACGTCGTGAGGCTTAGGGAGAAGCTCCACCAAACACTTAAGATTTCGACTAAGGAGCGATCGGAACAGGAGCCGCTAGGAGCAAGAGCGGGAGCAGTTGAAAGCTTACTGAGAACTACTCCATTTTAAATTATAAGACGTTTTGAATTTTCTAAATACATAGGTTTTACTTTGCACTTCAATATATACTATGTCTAGATACACAATAAAACAATATATCTAGAAAAGTCAAAACATCTTATAATTTAGAATGGAATGACTGATACCTAACTGGCCCTAATAAAGTTTGAAGATCTACATCCGTAAAACAAAACTTATCTAAAGGATTTATAGACAAACTCACTTACATTCCTACGTGGTTATCAAGCCATTAATCTCTAGGTTTATAATTACAAATATGAAAAAGCTAGGGTAATATCCGGGTGTGTTTATCTATATAACCTATATAAATGAAGACTACTAGCGCTATCATCTATTGATTTAAAGCTTCAATCACAGTGAGCCACATCACTAAAATTTTTATGCTGTTGGACTATGAATGTTTAATCAAATCTCTATGCGTCCAAAATCTGTGGCCCAGCTGAAGAGTCACAACCATCGCTACCTGCTCTCCGACAGGATCATGGCACGTTATCCCTCTTCCAAATTTTCTCCCAGTGAGCGCATACCGGATGACGGTGCCTCTTTGCTTCATGTAAAGCTGCAGTGCCATCTCATCCTCGAGTCCTGTTTTCTTTTACACTCTTGGCTCTACAGAAGCATCCAGGCGTGAGCGACGTGTCCTCGCCAGCCATACGTGCCCCGCCGCATGCGCCGACACGTACGCGCCTGCCGACGCCCCCCAAAACCCGAAGAAGCCAAACACCATCTCGGCTTCTTCGATCGCAGCGAGTAGATAATCACGGACACTCGCCTGCTCCCTTCGCTTCGTTATTCGCTTGCTAAATCCGATCATCTTCTCCTGGTTATTGCTGCTCTTGCGTATCGATCGGCTCTCTCATTCCCTTCTGATCGATCCATCCCCTGCGAGTCGACGTTGACATCGCCATGTCGGGGATCTCGCTGGCGGTGGCGCCGAGGTCCGACCCGGACCACGGGTCGGAGCGGCAGCCGACGGTGATGCTGGGCGGCGTGATGGGTTCGCTCCGCGTCATCGAGCTCCAGATGGTGGCCTTCATCATGGTGTTCTCGGCGTCGGGCCTCGTCCCGCTCATCGACCTCGTGTTCCCCGTCGCCACCACGATCTACCTCCTCGCCATCTCCCGCCTCGCCTTCCCGCCGCTGCACTCCAAGCTCGACGCCGCCCGCTCGCCCGCCGCCTCCCAGGAGATCTTCCGCGGCAGCAAGTAGTAATCAGTCCATTCATTGTTTCCGCTAGCTCCTTCGATTGTTAATGTTTCTAGAAATTTACTAACTAACTTGGAGCAGGCTGTTCCAGGTGTACGTGGTGCTGGGCACGACGGTGGGTCTGTTCCTGCCGCTGGCGCACGTGTTGGGCGGGTTCGCGCGCGGCGACGACGCGGCGGTGCGGTCGGCGACGCCGCACCTGTTCCTGCTGTCGTGCCAGATCCTGACGGAGAACGTGGTGGGGTCGCTGGGCGCCTTCTCGCCGCCGGTCAGGGCGCTGGTGCCGCTGCTCTACACGGTGCGCCGCGTCTTCGTCATCGTCGACTGGGTCTACGACGTGTGGGCCAACAGGGCCCTCACGCGGGCCGCCACCGCGCAGGAGGCCGCCTGGATGTGGTTCGGCAGGTACCTCGCCGCCGCAAACCTACTCTACTTCTCCGCCAACCTCTTCGTCTTCCTCATCCCGAGGTTCCTGCCCCGCGCCTTCGAGAAGTACTTCCGCATGCGCGACGAGGTGTGCGCCAAGACGACCGAGGACAAGCACGCCCGCGGCGGACACCTGTCGTCGTCGTCCTCGCCTGTGCCCGCAGCGGAGCAGCAGGAGGGTGTCGTCGGGGCGGCGAAGTCGGAGGTGTCCAAGAAGGCGGACTGAGAGAACTCTCGGCTCTCGCATGTCGTGTGCGTTGGTCAAACCTGAGTGGGCTGTGGCTTGTAATTTCTAGAACCTTTGTTTCTTTCATTTCAGAGGACCGGCGCGGATGCATCGCCTGGGAATGAGTCGTGGCCCGCCCCTACTCCAACCTCGACCTTATTTTCTAGAGCGGGCGGTACGACCCCGATCCAATCCATTGGCTAGATTTATATCCTAATCCGGTTTGGCCCTTGAGAATAAAATCCCACTCTTATCCTGATTCTAACTAAATCCTAGGGTCAGGCTACAGATCGCACGCTCGTATATGTATATAGAAATACCCTTGGACCCTGAGCAGGCTACAGCGTACGCTTGCATTTGCGCAGAAATACAATGCATGCATGTTTGTATGTAAACAGAAATTCAATGCTGCCTATGTAAAAAAAAAACAAATACAATGCTGTAGATGTAAAAAAAATGTTGGACGTTGGGCACGAACATTTGCACGTTAGAATCCTAAACATGCTGGATGTGTTTCATAGTACACAGAAGTAGCTAATAGATTAATTAAGTAGCTAAAAGAACTAATTAGGATTGAGTATGAATCAATATGCTAAAATAAAATTACGAATTTCTGGCCATACAATCCAATGAATCCAGAAAAAAAAATAAAAGTTGATTATTATGACTTGCAAACAGATAACCATGATGAGATGTATCAACAGATAACCATGCTCTCAAGCAGAGAGAGAAAGCCCCCCTACAACAAACTCTCTGCATTCAAATATTCACTCATCCACATGCACAAGAACTTCATTAAGTAGATACAGCAAAGAGGAAGGCTTCTACTTTTCCCCCTTGAATCTAGGCACCACAGCTAACAGGGGAGCGCTAGGTTCTTGGTACAATCTACCCAGCGCCCTTACTCGATCTACAGCAAAGACTGAACTGCAAGTAGATAGACAGAGGGATGGATTAGTTGTTACCTTGCGGACTTGGCAGCGGAGAGGCGCCCCGCGCGCCGGAGGACGGATCTTGCCGACGGATGAAGAAGCGATGGGGCCTGAGGAATCGCTGCTACCGCCGCCCTGAGGAAGCGATGGCGATGGATGGAGAAGCGATGCCGCTGATGGAGGGATCTCGGACACCGAATCGCTGCTGCTGTCGCCGCCGCCGCCTCCTCCTCCTCCTCCTCAACATACGCCGCCGCCGCCCCTCAACTACCAAGGACCCGCCCCGCTCGGCCGCCCCTCGACTGCGACTCTGCGAGGGAGACGCCAAAGGCAGAATCCGTTTCCAAGATTCTCGGGCCGACCCTCTTCAGGCAATCTGTGCAACGACTCAGGCCATATCTACAACCAAACCTTTTTTCAAGCCAATCCAATCCAACTCGATCCTTTTGTTTACATGGCCATATGCAATTCGTAAAACTAGGCCCGTGAGTTGGGGACCCTTTCGGCCCTTGGCACGATCCATTCCCAGTTGCAGATGCATGTAGATGTTGTCATCGCTCTGACCATCGTGAACCTTCGTTAGGTGGCGTTTGGATATCGGGAAATATGGGGTTGGGATAAGGAAACGAGGGGTGCTGGATATCTTATCCATCGTTTGGTTTCAGGGATAGGGAAATAGAGAAGGATAGTGTAAGAGATATGCTATCCGATCGGGAGGGGTGGGTTACGAGTGGGTTATCAGCTCCGCTGGCACCCTCGCCTCGCTACTGGCTGGCGTCTTCGTCGCGGCGCTCATCCCCCATGCACGCGGGAGACCGGATCCACCGTCCCAGCTCTTGTCTCCCATGCGTGGAAGGTCTGAGCCACGCTCGCCTTGCCTCGCTCGCATGCGGGCCTTGGAGGTCGTCGCCTTGCTTGCGCGCCAGCGGCCGGCCACCGAAGCCTCGCTTTCGCTTGATCGGGACGCGCGGAGGCGCAATGGTCGCCGGATACGCAGCCGCCGAAGCCATCTTGCGCCTTGGCTGCGGGAGAGCTGCTCAATTTGGCGGTGGCGCAAGCCAGGCGGAGCAGGCAGGTGGATTGTACAAGCCACTGCTGCTACGCAGACTGGCAGCATGGAGAGGGGCTTGGACGGTGACGGCAGATGGCAGATGGGACCTAGGACGAGGAGCTCGCGGGTGGCAGTGGGCTCGTAGCCTGGAGCATGAGCGGCGGCGGCGGCTCTTGCGAGCGTGAATGGCAGCGGCGGGTGGGAGCCTGGGGAGATTTGGGAGTCGGAATGGGCTCACGGCCTCACAGGTGACAGGCCACGGTTTGCAATTTTTTAATTGAAAAAAGGCGTGGGTCCCACTTCTAAAACCAAACCCATACCCAATCTCATCCGAACAATGGATTTGCCTTCCAACCTTTATTTCCCAGTCCTATATTTTTCAATCCATAACCTTTTCCCTATCCCTCCTACCATCCAAACGCCACCTTAGTCGACAGGAGACCTGGACAATCGACCTTCAGTTCCCACAGAAGATCAGTTGGCCATCGACCATTGTTCGCCTCTGTTTACGCAGTGCTGAAATCTCGTTGCCATGAGTTGGTTTACTCGGTGAGGGCCAAGACCAGGCAGTAATAGACCCGAGCAAGAAAAGCTCATTTCTTCAGGCCGGTAAATCTTGCCGCAGAACGTCACACAGGCTGCGCTGGGCTCGCTTTTTGGGCCAGGCTTAGACAGACCCCGCTAGTTTTTAGGGCAAAATAATTGGGCCAGGCTATATTTGCCCATGTATACATTAGCAAAAAAAATGGACAATTGTATCCGCAGTTTCAGATAAATAATACTTTTTCATTCCAAATTATAAGACGTTTTGACTTTTTTGATACATAGCTTTTGCTATATACTTAGATATGCATTATGTCTAGATGCATATCACAGCTTTTGCTATATACTTAGATATGTATTATATCTAGATGCGTACACTGTAAAGATAATGTATCTAGAAAAGTCAAAGCGTCTTATAATTTAGAACTATATACTTAGATATGCATTATGGCCCCGTTCGGCTTGCTGAAACTTGGCTGAATTGGCTGAAAAACACTATTCTGGCTGAATTGTTGTGAGAGAAAAATATTGTTCCGGCTGAAAAAATAAGCTGAATAGTGCGGATTATAAGGTAAGCCGAACAGGACCATAGGGGTATACTGTAAAGATAATATATCTAGAAAAGTCAAAACATCTTATAATTTAAAATAAAAAGCGTCTTATAATTTAGAACGGAGTGAGTAAACAAGTACTGAGTTTCTGGTTGTGGATGGAAAGTGGCTATATCTAGAAAAGGATATTCCGCCTGTTCGGGAGGGTGTATCGTATCGTGGATTTATTTACTGCTGGCTGGTTTGGTGTGAGAGGAAAATACTGTTCCCGGCTGGAAATTTACGATCGTTTACGAGCAAGCGAACAGGCTAATTGTGTGTATTCCTACTCCTTCAGTCCTATTCTATAGAATATAGTGTATTCGATATTTTAGAGGACCAGTGAAGGTAGAGCGGTTTTAAAACGTTTGGTAAAATAACTTTTTAGAGAAGATAGCATAGAGAAAGCTGCTTTTGAAAATTCTTTATAAGCTTTTGCAAATTCATGATCTATAAGCTGCTTTTGCAAATTCTTTACTAAAACGAACATGCATTTTTCTCCATTACCAGAGGAAGTCTCTACCGGTGCCAAAGTTTTGATACCCATAGCATATATTTGTATATGTTGAAAGGTGTGAACCCGTGCCTTTTTTTTATAGCTGATATCTAAAGTATGCGCTGCTTAGTTTTTTTACACTACAAGAAAAAAGTTATATGCGGAAGAAATTAACTGTTTCAGGAGATCGCGCAGAGTTTTTCTTTTCTTTTGTCATGTCTCGCCATTATCCTGCTAAGTTCTAAAAATGAGATACGGGTGAAGATCATGCAAATAGTAAAAAGGGAATAGTCAGAGGACGAGAGATCATGCAAATGGTAAAAAGGCAGTTTTATTCTTTTTTTTAAATACCATCCGGCCAGCTTTCTTTCATCTGGTAACATAACTACATCATTTGATAAAATCAGAAAAATAAAACTAAGGATGAATCACCCTAAATACAAAAAAACTTTAGAAACAAAAGCTTGCCGAGCCGGCTCGTGAGCGACTTATTCATTTCACTATCACAATGCTCAATAGTAGCCATTGCAACCATTAAAATGTCCAAACATTTTTAAAAAATTAGGACTAGATTGCGCATTAGCAACGGCCACATCTGTAGCACCGGGTGTCTCTTGTGTGGACGGCACGCACGCCCGCCATTTCAAAAATTGAAGGTGCCGCCACTTAAATGTCATAATATGGCTAGAGGAGAGTGAATAGTTTATTTAAAATCTACAAATTAACTAGAGCAATTGATTAGTACAATAAATGATGTAATGTAATTTTGCTCTAGCTCTACAAGGGTTGCAAGCCACCTATTCCAATAATTCTAGTTGCTATGATCACTAGGCACACAAGAGCTAAGTTGCTACTCACTAAAAGCTCTCAAACTTGCTACACTAAAGAGCTCCACTAGATGAACTAAGCTACTAAGCAAGCTCTCAATTCTAGCTATACTAAAGAGCTTGCTACAACTAGTTTGCCGAAAAGTAATGGAGAGTGAGGTGATTATACCGCCGCGTCGAGGGTGAACCAATCACAATATGAATACCAATTAATCACCCGGAGAATATCAAAGAGCAAGAGACAACCAATTTTCTCTCGAGGTTCATGTGCTTGCCGGCACGCTACGTCCCCGTTGTGTCGACCACACTTGGTGGTTCGCCGGCTAAGAGGTGTTACATGAACCTCGTCCACACAATTGAACACCGCAAGAACCTACCCACAAGTGAGGTAACTCAATGACACGAGCAATCCACTAGAATTATCTTTCGTCTCTCTGACGGGGAAGGTACAAGACCCCTCACAAACACCGGAGTCGCCCACGAACAATCACCAACTCATGTCGAAGCTCCTCCGCTGCTCCAAGCCATTTAGGTGGCGACAACCATCAAGAGAAACAAAGA